CGGAACGCAACACGCGGGTATCTCAGTGATTTCTGTATCTATGAGTGGTGGAGGCTCGAGGGTAATCTCCAACAAAGTTTTGCACACAAAATGTTGGAGGAAGATGTATGGGCTATTGATAATGACGCACATGTGGATGATGTGTGGTTATCAATGGAGTCCACCATTAATAAAGTGGCGAAAGAGATACTCGGAGAATCTAAAGGATGTCCGCTACCAAAAAAGGACACGTCTTGGTGGAATGATGAGATGAAACAAGCAATAAGGACCAAAAGGGAATGCTATAAGAAACTGGGCAAAAGTTGGAGCGACGAGAATATAGAGGAGTATAAGGAGGCTAGAAGAAGAGCAAAGAAAGTTGTGAAGGACGCCAAAGAAAAAGTGAACAAGGAATTGTATGTAAAATTGGACTCTAAGGAAAGAGAAAAAAATATCTACGGACTTGCTCGCCTTCGTGACCGTAGGACTTAACATATCGATCAAAGGGTACTAATGGAGGATGAGGAAATAAAAGAGAGATGGAGGTCATACTTTGATACCTTGTTGAACGGGAATAAAGTGCAAGGTATTGATGATCTTACTATACCAAAGTGTATGGTAAATCAAGACTTCGTGAGAAGGATTCAAACAACGAAAGTTAAAGGGGCTATGAGAACAATGGGGCGGAAGAAAGGAGTGGGCCTAGATGGCATACCGATCGAGGCTTGGAGAAGTTTGGGAGTGAAAGGCATTGAGTGGCTAACACATTTCTTCAACGTGATTTGGAGAAACTACAAAACGCCAGTGAGTTGGCGGAATAGTACTTTAATTCCCCTATTTAAAAATAAAGGAGATGTACAAGAATGTGGCAACTATCGTGGAATTTAGCTTATGAGTTGCACCATGAAACTGTGGGAGCGAGTGGTTGAGAAAAGACTTCAAAAAAGTGAAATTTTCGGAGATCCAGTTTGGTTTTATGCCAGGACGCTCAACCATTGAGGTCATTCACCTTCTTAGACAAGTTATGGAGAAGTATAGAGACACTAAAAAGGATCTGCAATTGGTCTTCATTGACTTAGAAAAGGCTTATGATAGGGTACCTCGAGAAGTCCTATGGTGGGCCTTAATTAGAAAAGGCATATCACGTAAGTACTTCAGTATGATCATGGATATGTATGATGCTTGTACTACAATTATCCGCACTAGTGTAGGGAGGACCACAGAGTTCCCTATTACTATCGGAGTGCACCAAGGACCTGCTCTGAGTCCTTTTTTATTTGCTATAGTCATGGATGAACTTACGAAGTCAATTCAAGAAGATATACAGTGGTGCATGATGTTTGCCGACGATATTGTATTGATTGACGAGATGCAATCCGGTGTTAAAGCAAAGTTAGAAGTATGGCGACAAACATTGGAGACCAATGGTTTCAGACTGAGCCGAAGCAAGACTGAGTATATGGTGTGCAAGTTTGGTGGAGGTAGAAGTAGTAGCAACAGTGGTATTACCCTTGATGGTAAGGAGATACCGGTGTGTGATATGTTCCGTTACTTTGGCTCCATAATTCAGAAGGATGGTGAATTAGATGGAAATGTGTGCCATAGAATCAGAGCTGGGTGGTTGGAATGGAAGAGTGCATCAGGATTTCTATGCGATCGAGGTATGCCGACTAGACTGAAAGGTAAATTTTATCGAATAGCAATTAGGCCTGCTTTAATGTATGGCGTAGAGTGTTGGGCGGTGAAGCAATGCCACATTCAAAAGATGAGTGTGGCAGAGATGCATATGTTGCGTTGGATGTGTGGACATATCAGAAAAGACCGCTTGAGGAATGAGATAATCAGACAAAAGGTGAGAGTAGCACATATAGAAGATAAGATGCAGGAGTCTCGTTTAAGGTGATTTGGACATGTGCGTAGAATACCGAGTGATGCACCTCTTAGACGACTTGAGGGGTGGGGAGAAGAGGCAGAAAAGAAAGGGAAAGGAAGACTCAAACAGACTTGGATTAGAGGAATCAAAACTGATATGCGTCTTATTGGGTCGATGAGAGTATGGCTTTGGAGAGAGCAAAGTGGAGGGCGCACATCCGTGTGGACGATTGATGTCTTTTCTACCGTTCCTCTCTCTTCTCTTTTATCGCTTATCTTCTTTATCATTTTAAATTCTAATGTTATTTTTATGCTCTTTTATCTTTCTATCTTTTATCTTTCTTATATTCTTATGTTCTTGTTATCTTATATTTATTTATCTTTACTTTATCCGTTTTATCTTACATTTTTTCCTTCTTGTCCGTCTTCTCTGTTTGGCATCGATATCATAGATCGATTCATGTTAGCCGACCCCAAATTCTTTTGGTATTAAGGTTTGGATGTTGTTGTTGTTTATGTTGAATACAAATCTTATATGTAACTACAAGACCACATGTTGTTTGGTCATACTAAAATCTACTCCCTATTATCAGTTTACTTGTCCCACTTTCCGTTTTGGGATGTATCAAATTAATTGTCCAATTTCCCTTTTTGAAAAGAAACACACCCTTAAAGCAGTTACAGTATTGATACAGTACTGATACAGTACCAAAACCTCTTACTTTTTATAAAGTATACAATAATTATCTCAAATTACATGCAAAAGCAAATGAAACAGATAATGTGATAATGTGATACGGAGGGAGTACTTCATAAATCCATGAGAATGCTAACTTTTTATACTTCCCCCGTCCTCCAATTAAGTTCCCGGTTTGACCTCACACGTATTAAGAAAATAAATTTGACTTTACTGTGGAGTGCACTGTTTTGCACTGTTCAAACACTATTTGACACTGTTTGGCACTGTTTGACACTGTTTTGATGTAGATAATTTGACAAATAAGGAAAGTAAGGAAGTGTGAACTTAATTTAGGGACTGTCCAAAAAGGAAAGTGACAACTTAATTGGGGGACGAAGGGAGTATTAATGTACATAAAAGATGTTGCCCTACACTTGCTCTTGGCAGATTAGTCGATAAACTACATTTAATCCTACTTTTCAAATTGTACACTTACAATTATTAGGTTTTATAATTAGGATGAACAAATATATCACATATTCTATGATTATCATTATATATATAGTTATATGTTTTTCTTTTTTATCATTAAACATATAAGAACTAACCATGGTCATTGATCTAATAAAATCAGTTGATTAGATAAAATTTTAAAGTAAAAACATGATGACATTTTCATAAACTTCTTAAAGTTTGGCATGTAAAATATGCATGGTTTTGTGCATATCTTGCATTAGTCAGAGTAAAAGGAGAATCATATTTCAAACAAAATGTGCTAGAATCAAAATTATTGTTAATTGTTATAGTTCCTAGACCATAGTATATGAGTGTAGTGCAATCTTATGTTAGGCTTAAATACGTTTTTAATCTCTGCAAATATGACACACTTTGTTTTAGGTCTCTGCAAAAAAAAATTGTTTTCCATCCCAATAACATGCATTATTTTGTTTTAAGTCCATCTCTAACTCCAAACCACTCTATTTAGAAAAAAGTTAATGTGATTTGCCTGAATTTACTAGAAACATTTAAATTTATCCTTTTATAATTTTTTTGAGGCTAATATGAGAGTTAAAACAATGCAAAACTAATTATCACATCTAAAAAATATGTTTAAAAACTTTCTAAAAATAAAATTAAATACTTTTTAAATAACATGACAAAGAAATAGAGGAAGCCTATTAGTCATGGTTATTTTGAAGTCAAACGGAGGTTGTTATTATCAGTGATGGACTAAAAAGAAAATCAACATACATTTCAAGGATGAAAAACAGAAAAAAAAAATTACAAGGATGTAAAACAAAGCGTATTGTATTTGCAAGGACTAAAATCATATTTAAACCTTTATGTTATAATAATACACTTGTTTTATTTTTTGTTTGACATTTAGATTTATCAAAATTATATTAATGCGAGCGATTTGATCTAATCCACTCATTTCGAAGCAATCTATGATATACATAATTCCCACTTTTCATGAGAAGAGTAATATTTATTTGAACTCATCCCTATATATGTATAGAGAGAGACATGTGTGTATGTGTGAATACGAATATGAATACATTCAAATATTACTTGAACCAATTATAATAGTATTTGTGTTTGTATTTGAACCCTCTTCAAAAAAAATCAAAAACATATTCGGTTTTCCCAAACTCCAATCCATATTTTCGAATTTGAATTACAAATTAAAATAGAACTACTCCCTCTGTTATTTTTGAAGTGTCCTAGTAGATATTTTGTGGTATTTGAGAAGAAAATAGTAGGGGTAATATAGAGGGTGTAGGGTGTATGATTACCTCATAGACAGTCATTTCTTTACCCATGATAGCATGAGTAATATTTATTTGAACTCATCCCTATATATGTATAGAGAGAGACATGTGTGTATGTGTGAATACGAATATGAATACATTCAAATATTACTTGAACCAATTATAATAGTATTTGTGTTTGTATTTGAACCCTCTTCAAAAAAATTCAAAAACATATTCGGTTTTCCCAAACTCCAATCCATATTTTCGAATTTGAATTACAAATTAAAATAGAACTACTCCCTCTGTTATTTTTGAAGTGTCCTAGTAGGTATTTTGTGGTATTTGAGAAGAAAATAGTAGGGGTAATATAGAGGGTGTAGGGTAAATAAAAAAGAAGGGAGAATATATTAAGAGAAGAAAGTAGGAAACAAAAAGTAGTTCGTAAAAAATAAAAAAGGTACGAGTAATAAAAGTGAGAATAAAGGTATTTTAATAAGAAAAAATTGCTAAAAATGGAAAGATGGACAAATGATAATAAAAATCCCAAAAGTGAATCTGTGACAGTTAAAGAATGGAGGGAGTATTAAATTTGTTGACAAGCCTAATTTCGAATGGACTAATTGTTACTAGGAGAAACACAAATATTTAACATAGCCAGAAATTAACCCATGATGGCATGATATTCCAGGACAAAGGAAAAGAATTTAGCAGATTACCTCATAGACAGTCATTTCTTTCCGCAACTGATCCTCAACGGAGGCTACTGTGCTCTCTCCATCTTCTTCACAGGCCAAAAAATCATCACAACTTCCACTGCTTCTCCCAGTTTTACCTGTATCAGCCAATGCCTCAACCAGAGTAAAGATGTGGTCACTCGAATCTGGTCTAGGTGATTCTGCAAGCACTCCCTAAACACAACCAAATCACATGATGAGGAAATCTGAATCTTTCTGCCAGTTAATAGTTAATACAATAGCGAGAAATTATAGGCCCATTTGGAACCCTAAAAAATGTTAAGGAAAGAAGGTAGGGAGGAAAATATTTGGATGAAGTTTTTAAGAAAATAAATATGAGTAAAACTTATACGAATAATAATAATAGTAATAATAATAATAATAATAATAAAAGATTTAAACATGTTAAATCAATTATACACATTAGTCAGTTAAGGTTCATCGGATGAAACCCATTACCCTTTTAGTCTAGACTCTTTTTATTAATATATTTCTATATTATCATATAGACTATGAAATATAAATATGTGTAAAACTTCATAGTGTTCTAATCAAACTTGACTTCCCATTGCATTTGCCTGTGGCATCCCTGCCTCCTCCCCTTCAGTACTCCACATCCCAAATGTAGTCTATGGGAATGGTATGTAGGGCTAACTAACCTTGCTTATCCAAAAGTTTATCTTCCTAGATAGAACATCCATAGGTATTCCTAGAGCAGCTGCGAGATCTTTAGACGTCCACCTGGATCCGTTGAGACGGACAAACAAGTACAGCTTGACATGGCATAGTCGATCTAAGCAGATGTAAATGACCCCCCCCCCCCCCCCCCAAAGTTAGTTCCCATGTTACCTCTTTTGCTCCTGAAATTGCACTATAATGGAAGCATGAAGAGGGGTGCACATGAACTGCAGTGCTCTGTCTTCAAACTCCAATTCCAGCTAAAGTGAAACAGAAATAACAAGTTCGTCAACATCCTTCCATGGATAATGGGTAGGAAAATAGAGATAGATTTAGGAAACATGCGCCACTAGGGTTTGCAAACCAACCTTCACAGTTCCAAGACTTTTCTTCCATAGCAGTTTCCTTGGGGTCTTAATTTCAGTATATTTTTTTGCATAATCACTCAAGAGATTGTCCACTGGCCCAGGTAAGATAAGCGGTTCGTCCTACCCAATAAAAAATATAAACCACTAAGCAAGTAACTGATATAATGAAACCAACAAAAGTAAAGAAAAGGAACTAATATTGTTTGCAAACTTATAGAAAGATTGATAGCAACACAAGTGAAAAGTTGCAGAGGTAAGTCACTATAATACAATTGACTCATAAAACTTATGCATCTTTAAACCCTCAGATATACAGCTCGTACATATGATAGTCATTTGTCATAAAAAACTGCGGATGCTCAAAAATATAATGCGAGGGATGTTGCCTCAAACAAATGAAACAAACCTGAATAGATGGCCAGAAATTTGAAGATATGATTGTAGCATTAAGTGTGTCCAGGGGCATCTCATGCTGCTCTTCAGAAACTGTTTCAGAGTAGAGATCGATTATGCTTAGAGAAATCGGTATTATTGGGGGCAGAGTCAAAGGTAGACGAATATAAAAATGTGACAATACTGATGTTTTTCAACTTATCAATTCCGAAGCACAGTTAGAATCGTTGCATGTTAGCCGACTGCCGACCCCAAAATCTTTTGGGAATAAGGCTTGGATGTTGTTTGTTGAATGATGTTTTTCAACTTTTCTATCTTTTTTATCTTTCTTATGTTATTTCTTTTTAAATATTTTATCTTTTATCTTTATCTTGTCTTTTTTATCTTTTTATCTTATCTTTTTATCTTTCTCAAGTTATTTATCTTTTTTATCTTTTATCTTTATCTTATCTTTTTATCTTTTTATCTTATCTTATCTTTTTATCTTTTTTAGCTCCGATTTCATATGTCCACTCATGTTAGCCGACCCCAAACTCTTTTGGGACTAAGGTTGGATGTTGTTGTAATGACTCTAATGAGTATTACCTGGCTGAGATTGACTCTTGATTTTCGCTTTTACATTTGTATTTGTCCGTTTTGAATCAATTAGATCATTGAGCATAATTTCACACTTCTGCATGCTGCTCTCTCCAAAGTGAATCTGCAAACGACAAAGAAAAACTTCAGAATGATATATGTCGTCAGGAGAGAAAAACATACCAAATGCTAAAAGATACAAATTGTTTGACCAATTACCTTAAGAAGTTCCAAAGTGCGTATTTCTGAGTCAATGTCATAATCAGATTTGTTTAACAACTTTTCTGCAAGCATCACACGATATTCATTAACCAATTGATCCTTTGAACCTATTATGTTGACAATCATTCCAAGTATGTCAACTTTTCTTCGATTCCTGCTTCCCTTCATCGGGTCAGCCTCTAGAGGGTCAGGCTCCCACCTAAACAGCATTTATATCAAGAAACTATGTCAGAGGGAAAAAACAATCTGCTTCTAATGAACACACTCATCCTCGCATTGACAAAATAAACACACACCTTTGCGCATTCAACCACGCTTGTCTGTCATCAGTATTAAAATCTTCATCAACATTAGTGTTCTCTTGATTTTCTTCATCTCGGTTTAATTCTTCAAGAAGGCTATCCCCCAAGATTCCTGCTCCATTGGGATTTCCACCACTCCCATCAGTCAGCATTGTCACAATGCACTTTATTGTGTCTTTTCTACCCCTCAGGTATTCCCGTATAGGCTCGCCTACAGCTTCTAGGAACACACCTGCTGGATCGATGGTTCGAAGTGCTTTAATTGTTGAGACGTATTGGTGCAATATGTCATTAGTTGAGGCACCAGCTGTTAGTAATCGATATTTCAATGATGTGATAAAGGAATCAACCAACTTTGAGTGTTGCCCAGTATATTCTAGACATTGTTTTAAGTCTTCGATGGCAAGTGCACTGTGAAAGAGTTTAGTTAAAAACTCTGAGATATTACATAGGTAAAATTTATATCAGGCTATCAGCTCGCGTGAAAAGGAATAATGGAGGATGCTTTAAAAATTACTTATAATGATAGAATCCGTCAGTTACAAAGAATGCCAGTTAAGAAACGGGTGAAATGATAGAATCCATCAGTTACAAAGAACATACAATTGCATTATCACAAGACTCAGCATCAATCACAATCCAAAACCCAAGGCTACCAGATTGGCTAAAGAAAGCACATCTATATAGATGTCAAAAGGAAAGAAATAAAAGGGTAAAAAGGCAATAAAAAAGAAACTGATCTTCACCTGTCTGGATAATCCACGATGATTTCAAAAAGTTTGGCTATTCTTAGATCTTGTAAGGTCTCATAAGCAAAATACTCCAACCGGAGTTGCCATCTAACAAGTCCCTCAGATGGAATTTCATTTCTAAAATAACACGAAGGGGGGTGAGATGCAAGAGGTGATCTATGACCAGAGGATGGACTTTCTGTTCTGGTGGCATCACCAAGATAAGCAAGAAGTGCATGCAAAAACTGGAGGGGCACTGCCTGGACATATTTTAGATCATGTGTTAGAATTTAAACAACAATTCAATCAGACTACATATATTTGACTTTATCCGTCCCAGCTAAAAAAATAGTACCCTATTTCATGAAACTTTTTTGACCCAATTAGAGCCGGGTTTTAAAACTAAAGTTTTACTTTAAAGCACCTCTAAAGCCAATCAGCACAGAGTGTTGGCTCATTATAACAAACAATGTTGAAAATAAGTTTTTGGGAATAAGTGGCCATTCATACATTTATCAATTATTAATTATCTACCTGGCATTTATCTGAAATAAATTAAAATACGCATTGCTTCTGTAGGTATGAGTGTATGACATATGTCCAATAGTCCATTGCATAATTTTATGTATATCAGTAAGGAAAACATATATGCCCCATGGGAACATCTAGGCAAACAATTATGACAAAAAATGGTCACTGCAAGTGTGCAATAACCTGTATCCACAGTTTGATAGGTTCCAAAACAGAGCTTCTGTAATCGTCGCCAGCCAAATTGTGTACTTTGTCCTATATGGCAAATGAGTCAAGAAAACAAACTTATCAGAGCCTAAATGAGTTTTGGAAATATGGCAACTTGAAATATGACAAAGACAATACATAAATGAAACTGGTCTGAATATTGTAGAAATATAAAAGCAAGAAGCAATTATCTGATAAAGTTCGGACCTGTAGAAGCAAAAATATGGCAGAAGCATAGGCATCTTCAGCCAGAGATGTACATCCAAGACTTCTTAGATTGCGGACGACCATCCCAATGCTCTTCACTATAATATTGTTCACTGAAAACATTGTTTGCTGATGGCTCATATCAATATCCATAACGCAGTCTCTTTTTGGATGCTTGCGATTCTCAACAGGAACCATTTCATCATCAGATCCTAATTCAGGTTCATCTTCACAATAACCTGACGTAATTGTGTTCAATTCCTCTAACCTTCCCTTGAAGTACCAGTGTAACAGTTCTATATGTAAAATAAAAGAAAAAGCGATTAGAAAAGAGTTACAAACATGAATATACAGAAATTCACTAGCCACTATTGAGGAGCATACCAGGAAAGTGCCTAGGCACACTGGCCATGATCACCGAAGAAACCATTAGCTGATATTTTGATAACAAATAGTCTCTTATGTCATCCAAACCGGGACACCCTTTTGACTCACCCACTTTATATGATTGTAAAGAATGAATCAATAATAATACGCACTTCTCATGGCATTGCTTTTCAGATGATATCTCTTCCAGAGCTTTACATAATAGCCTTTGAATCTGATCCTCAAGCATCTGGTTGAAATTTTGAATGATAGTACAAATCAAGATCCATATGAAGCTTGCATGGGCTTGCTAATTTGTTTTAGTGAAAAGATGACAAATTTCTGTCTACAAAAACCATCTGAATGCTCACCGGATCATTGTTCCTTTTAAGTGCAGCAACATTTGTATAAGGATCAAAATGCCTCCAAAATCTTGATGCACCTTTTTCTTCAAATAATTTCTACAAAAACAACAACATCCAAGCCTGAGCCCCAAAAGATTTTGTGGTCCGCTAACATGAATCTACTTATGAAATCGGAGCTAAAAAGAGAAAGACAAAATAAAATAAAAAGGAAACAAATAACCTAAACATAAGATAAGATAAAACAATAAAAACATAAAAAAGCATAAGAAAGATAAAAAAAAAGATAATAAAAAAGATGAAATGAGATCAATCCTCCACACAAATATTTCCCTTCACTTCGCTCTTTTCAAAGTCATACTCTCATCCAACCCAAGAAGTGTCATATCACTCCTCACTCATCTAGTACACGTCTGTTTGGTCTTCCTCTCCTCCCAGCCTCTTCCCCACATCTCAACTCACCTAAAAAGTGCATCACTCGGTCTTCTACACCCATGGTCAAATCAACTCGAAACTCCCGCATCTTATCTTCAATAGGTGCGGGCTACTCCCACCTTTTGTCTAATGTCTCAATTCTCAAGCGGTTTTTTCATGTATGTCCACACATTCAACGCACCACATGTATCTTAACCACACTCATTTAAGTACTTTCTACAAAAAAAAACACAAAATTGACTCATACTTTTATAGCTAACTAGAATACTCTAGAACTAAAAGAGGTAAAACAATTTCTCTTCATTTCATTAATATTCCGGTAGAGTTCAACCTTATTTCCCTAATACTATGAAAAAATCATTAATTTTCACCCTTTTATATCAATTATGCAATGTTAGTCTTACACTTCATAGCTATTACTCCCTCTGTTCTTTTTTAGTTGCACCATTACATTTTCACGTTTGTCAACGCACAACTTTGACCGTCATTTTATTTAATTATGTATTAGTAAAAAATACTAGTAATTAAAAATCATATTATGAAACTTAATAATGAGATGAATTCAACAATATTTTTCGAAAAACATAATTCACATTCATTAATAAATAAAATGTTGTCAAAGTAGAATATATGAATAGTGTATAAATTGCAATGTTGCAACTAATAAGATACATAAGATACAGAGGATAGTATATATTCATTTAAAGAAAACTATTGCTTAGTGGGTTAGTAACTGATCACTGCAAAATCGCATGGAACATTAACAATGAAGAATGTACCCCCCCCCCCCCCTCCCCCACCCAACAAAAGACTTACTTTAGTAGCGCGAAATAGCTATCATGTTACTATGTAGCGTGAAAGCATCAATAGGGAACCCATAATCTCATTTTTGGGGGGAAATGAAAACAGAAGCAGCTTTGCTTGAACAGACCTGAACTGAATGCAGGAAGTGATCTTTAACCAGAGACTCGAGACCGTACTTGCAGAGACAGTGGACATTTGAAATGAGCTCGGAGCTGAGAGAGACATCATCACTGCAATGAAGTAGAGCTTCCGAAACGGAGCAAAAACCCCTCCAGCTCTTCTCAATTTCTTCGACAGAATTGCCTACCACAGATTCCAGAACAGTGAAACTGAAAGAAGGCGATGAAGTGCTCGTCTCCATTGTAGTGGCATCCATAGAAGAATGGAGCGATTTTCAAGAATGACAGTATGCCACTTAACCCTACTTCATCATCAGGTATAAGCAGCTCAACCTCCACTTTCACTACTTTCTGCTTGAGTGGCGCCCCCTTCCTCAAATTTCTTCTTTTTCAAAGTTTTTCCAACTTTTATAAGAACCCATTACAGGATCCGTTAATTGCAAGAGTACAACTTGCACCAGCAAAGCCCTATTAAGATCGCAATATGCGAAATAAACTTTGGATACATAAAATGCACACGCAAATACAAAACAAAAGCACTTCAAGTCTTGAAAAAGAAGCAAAGGTCATATTTGCCTATTTGCAAATTGCAAGAGTACAAGTTGCACCAGCAAAGACAGTATTAGTGCAGGTGGATACAAATAAGAAATTCTAAACGGGTCCGGGTCTTTAACGGGTCGGAATCAATGTACCATACCTGACCCGTTTATTTAAAATACTATTGGGTCCGGATCCAGGTCCGGGTAAACGGAATAAAATATAGACTCGTACCCATTAAAAACAACCGGGTCCGGGTCGGTTCCGGGTCTAGACCTGACCCATTGACAGGTCTATCCGTTAGGCCCGACCCATTGATAGGTCTATCCATTGTCCAGTCAGCGAAAAGAAGATCCAATCAAGCACTATCTTTCTCTCATAGCACGACGGTGGTTCAGGAGGAGGACGAATAATTGAGGTCTTGGAGTTGCCGATGTCTGAAGTTAACCTCCCCAAAAAAAACAAGCAAGACGAGCATTGCCATCCACCAACAATAAAAATTCAACGCTCGATCAGTTCCGCCGACGAGGATTACACACCCTAGACATCACTAAGAACGAGCCACTCAAAATTACTTGAAAATACTTGTAAAGGAAATAATTTTGCATTTTTAAGATCGAGGAGAAAAATAATTGAGAAGAAGAGAGGAGGGGCGAGGGCTAGGATTTTTACCTAAGGCAAGACGATAGATAAACACCTTTTAACACTAACATAGTTGTGAGTTAAAAACTTAAAATGAAAATTAAATTTTATGTTATATGAGACGTTATAAAAATAAGAATTTATTCTATGTAATTTTTATTTAGTGTGCTTAGATTGATTGTAAAAGTTGTGTATGTTTTAATATATTATTGAGTATAGTTTATATAATGATATACTTCGTACAACTTATTTTTATTCATTTTTTTATTTTCAAGATATGAAGTTAACTATTTAATAGAGTTCCTTCAAATGACATAATAACATTCGACAGTGGCACAACACATACTATTTTGAGAAATTAAGATTATTTTTCTCATATATGTTGATAGAGTATATATCTAGAAAGAAGTGAAAGCTAGAGAGAGAAGTGTAAGTAACTGCTTCAATAGAATGATTTTGTAACCCCTACAACTACCTCCAGAGGAAGTATTTATAGGAAAAATACGGGCTGGGCTCCCAAGCCTTGGGCTTGGGAGGCCCATTTACAACTGGACCGCTATTGGGCCGAATACAATGTATGTAGAAATGATTAAGTGTAAAATCTAGTTCTGTAAAGCTTCCGTGGCCGATGAGGGTCTGGCCGACGAGGGCACGGCCGACGAGGGCACGGCCGATGAGGACACCCCGGTTCCCTGGCTTCAGGATCATATTCTGAGTTGGTCCCTCTTCGGCCGACGGGGGTCCTTTGGCCGACGAGGGCACTGCCTAGTGGCTTGTACTTTCTGTTCTTCTGAGTATGTGGGTCCTGGGGCCTAGACCCATATACTCCATCAGGAGTCCCCCACTCTCTAAGCTGAGATGTAGACGAAGTGAAGGAGAGTAGATTTCTATGCTTGATGCTCTTGGCCGATGCGGGACCACGCTGGCCGTTCTCTGTCGACGTTGGTGGCCCTGTTCTGAGTTTGGCCGTTACCTGTTCCTTGACGTGGACGGGGAAGGCTGTTATTCCTTTGGTGCGCTTGTTTGTGGACGATGAGTGTTCTGGCATGAGTGGCCGATGAAGGTAGTGTCTATCCTTGGTCGTTGATGGTTGAACTTTCTTTTTGGGCTGATGAGGCCGTTGGGGTTATGTCTTGTTTTGGGTGGCCGGTGAGGGTGTTGTGCACTCCTTTTGGCCGTTGTTGATGACACCATGTGCCTTTGGGCGACAAGGCGCCATATTGCCCAAGGTTTTGGGGATGATAACATTGTCTGGATGGAGATGGAGTTGTGAGGACCTTGGAGCCGTTGTGGTACATGTACGATGGTGATTCCGGTACGTTAACCTCCTGTTCCTTGATTCCTTGTTGAGAGTGGTGTGGTCTCAAAGCCGATAAGTGTCATGTGATCTCAAGCTTTGCTGCGGCCGATGGTGGACCACGATGTTATGGACGTTGTGGTACATGTCTGATGTTGTAGTTGTGGACTTAGTATATTTTTGGATTTCTTTGATTTTGTCCTGATTTGCAAAGGCCGATGTAGTCCCCCAGTCCCCCACTGCTTCAGGCCGAAGAGTGAGTGAGGGGCGAAGGAGTAGTGTGAGACCCAGGCCGGAGCGGGATCCTCATACTGGCCTTGAATCCCTCCCTTTGGCGATTTCCTGATCAAGGTAACCCTGTGGGAGAACCCTTGGACGCAGGTCGCTTTCAAAGGGTTATCATCAAGGGTTTTGTGTGAGGGCCGCTGGCCATTGGGTTCCCTTCCCTTGTGGTGTTGTGGCCGTTGTAAGGCCTTCCTTTACATAATATGTATGGCTGCCTAGATGGCCGATACGGGTGCTAGTTGGGTAGCCGTAGCCTGTATTGGCCGTTGAGTGCCCTGGCCGTTGTGGGTGTTATTTTCCCCTTCCTTCGTTCCGTAGAGCCTACTTTGTTGGTGGGCTATTGATCTGTGGATTGGGCTTGGCCCATTAACGACGTGGTGACATCCCATTGGTTGCCGTTGGCGTGGCCATTAGGAGGGTGCCACGTGTAGTGACCGTTGGGGGGCTCTATAAATATCCCTCCCTTTCCGACGAAAGCTCTCATTTGCAATCTGAGCTACCGAAGTGATGGCCAAATTTCTAGAGAGATAAACTCCCAGCAAGCGTTCTTCGTGTTCTTCAAGGCTTCAAGGTTAGTTTCATTGAAATTCTTCTGTACTTTGCCTATTTTGCTTCCTAGGCCATTGATCTAGTGTTAGGCGTTTGAACACCTTTAGATCTCGAAGTAGGTTTCCTTAGGTTCGAAATAGTGTTTAAGATGAAGGACTTGAATGAAGAGTACTACCCCTACGACGATGAGCCTTCCACCAAGTCCCTTGATTATGAAGTGGTCGAAGAGTTCTGTGAAGACCTTGAAAACCTGAGCTCGTTCAAATCTGGGGAGCAGGACGATGAGGACGGTGAGGACGTGGAGTCTGCCTCATCGTCTGGAGGTGGGGACGTAGGGGTCTCCCGAACTGCGGATGGGGCGTCCACGTCGGCTGCCATCCCATGCCCGAAGCCGGTGTCTGCCGTCAAGGGTGTTGCACCGCCGAAAAGGGTGAGGAGGCCGAAGAGGGGACCAGCCTTTTCTTACTTGGATCTTACAAATATCTTCATCATCAGGCCGCAGATCAATGCGGGTGAATACTTGGTCGCACAGATGTACGTGGGACCGTTTGGTAGGGTTAGGGCCCCCAGGCCGACGGACCATGTCCTCAATCCACCCCTGGGGTACTTCGGAGTGTACCCGATGAGCTTCCCCAAAGGGCTTCGGTTCCCGCTCCATCCCTTCATCATCGAGTACCTAGATATGGTGGGGCTCCCTCCGGCCTTGTTGACGCCGAACAGCTACTCGCTCATCGTCGGGTTCCTCCTACATTGTGCTGAGCTGGATTTCAGGTCGACGACGGCGCTGTTCATGAACCTCTACCAGATAGGACGTGGAAGTCATCAGAACTGCGCTTCCTATGCCACCCTCCAACAACTTCCGAAGAAAAGAAGCTTCACTGACCTGCCGACGTCTATCCATGGTTGGAAAGGTAAGTTTGTGTTCGTGTCGTTGGGTGAAGGGGGCGTAGAGTTTCCCTCCGTTGGCCACAATGGGCGGTTCAACTTGCATGACACGCTGAGGAGCTCCATCCTGAACGCTCAGGTTGAGGCTTTCCTGAAGGGAGGGCCGGGGAGTGTGAAGACATACATCACGGAGTACAAGATGGCCGCCCTCGGCTTCGTGAGGTATTTTGTCTATGGTGATAAGGGAGACGATGTAGAGTTGTGGCCGAAGATGACCACAACTTACGAGGAGGTTGATGGTCCCGATCTGGGGGTGCCAGCTCAGGATGATGGTAATACCTTTTTGATGCACTCCTTCTCATCGTAGTTCTATATGTTTTGTTTGCTGACCCTTAGTATTTTTTCAGGTGCAGGTTTTGTCATGGATCGCATGTCCTTCATGAAGAGGGCGCAACTTAAGGCGGCCGAAGAGTTGAAGGCCCAGCAGCCTGCCACTGCACCTGCGGCCAAACCCCCTGTCCAGCCGAAAAAGAAAAGGCAGGCCGACGAGGGCCAAAAGAAGCAGACTGAGGCGGGCCTGAAGCCCACTAAGAAGCCGAAGAGGGCTTCTCCTTCTGGTGATGCCGGGACGTCGGCTGTTCCTTCTGGGGACAGAGGGGGTTCCAATGCTGATGCTCTGGTGGATCTCACTTCGGGCCCTCCGTCCACTACTCTGTCCACCATTCCTCCTGCCGTTGCGGCCACCCGGAAGAAAGGTTCCGGCCGAGAGCAGCTCCGAGGGACCTACAAGCTCGAGGTTGAATACCCCGTCAAGGGGGGGCTATTTGTAACACCGCCCCCCGAGTATTTGTACTGTACCAAATCGTGTATTGAACCCTGAGAAATGTATAAAAGCGTTTTTACGTGATTGTAAATTTTTATCGTTTCTTTTACGTGAATAGAAAAATTCACGTGGGGCCCACACCGGAGGTGGGGGCCGTCCGATATTATCGGGGCCACATATTATATTGATCTTGGACTAGATAATATGTATATGGTGGTGGATATCCTAATTGAGCCATGGCAATGGCATAGGGTTGACCGGTTGGTCAAACGGGGCCAAATTATCAGTATCGGCAATTTATTAGATAATAGCCCGAAAAGGGATTTTGGAGACTTCTAAATTAAAGTTGAGGAATGCATATTGATTCTAAGGTCCAATAAGGATTGGGAACAAGTATTATATTTTATTTGACCCGATAAAATAAAATATACTTAAAACAGTCCGGAAAATACAACTTTCGGGACCGATTGTACACGTGGGAACATAAAGGGATGACCTCCCACATGGGTGGGGGCCACCCCACGTTTTTTTCCAGACTTGGT